TGAAAAAAGCTTGAACAACGAAGAATGAGTGATGAGCACAACAGGGGTTGTCTTGCTACTTGAAAAAGACGAAGAAATGGAAAAAAGCACAAAAGTGTGGCACGTACTGAATCTGCATGATAGGGGACAAGACAAGAGTACGAAGTACTCAAACATAAATCATTCACAAAAGAGTACCAAGGACTCAAACCAAAATCTATCTTTCTATGTGGGACAAAAAATCCTAGTACTGTAGAAGAAAAATCAAAATATATGAAATTGCTTCAAAGCCAAGGCTTATAAATTGATGTAAGTGGGCATAAACAAGAACACATAAGACTGCGAATGCATATTCGCGCACAAATTAATAATTGGAGGGATAATTGAAGTGCAATCTCTAGCTTTAAAAAGAAATAAGAAACACTTACTCTTCTAAACAAAAACTAATCTTGCCAGAGGGCTCAAGGGCATCAACTCTGAGTTCTACCCAGTGGCTTATTTCTACATAGAAGAGTTGATTCCAACGCGGTTGACCGGGTCAAACTATTTGATTGCATCAGAAATCAAAATAACTAAAACACCGAGTATTTCTTAAATTTGTATTTTTTTTTAGTTCTGATACCCTAGGACACATGATCGCACTCGGAAAACAAAAGTCACCTTAGAAATGCCATCACTCTCTTCAATCCAAGGAAGGTACGATCCCAATTTGCCATTTTGTGACCAATAGAATCCAACTTCAGAACCATTGAGGTAACAATTCTTAGGCGACACACTGGAACAGGCCAAGAAATTTCATCCTCCCTTCACTTCAATTTCCACACTGGTCTCGTTGTAAACTAAACCTTTAATTGTTCCATTGCTGTTGAACATATTGGTTAGTCCGATTGGTGCAATCTTCTCAACCCCAAAAGTTAGCTCAAGAGACGAGGCTTTCCCACACACTCATAAACTGACCACCAGCCCCTTCCACAACTGATGTGGAATAATCTCAACAATCTCCCCCTCACACATCGGGTCCTAGGCAGGAGCAAACCTATGTCTCCCGTGGACTATTGGGCCGAGACTTGTTGATGATCTGGGCTCTGATACCAATATTGAGTGGTCTTGGACCTTCTCAACCCCAAAAACTAGCTAAAGAGGTGAGACTTTCCCTCACATTATAAACTGACCATCTGCCCCTTTTACAACCGATGTGGGATAACCTCAGCAAGTATCTTGGTCGAGACGAAGCTGAAAATCTAAAATCCGCATTTTCACTAGTAGTTTATCAGACTCACTCAAATATACTGAATATTCTTCTACTTTTCCCATTTCAGTTGCATCCTTTTCTGATCCCATTCAATGTCACT